CCCCATGGAATAGACCAATAATTTTAAGTTTTTCACTTGGACGAGTTACTCTGAAAAGAATGACAAGCTTTTCAAGATACTGTTTCACCGGTCTCGGCAACCGACTGTTAGTTCTTTCAGGGTTAATTACATGGTTTTGTTTACATCGAGATTTCAAACGAGAATACAATATACGGATAGTAAGCTGATTTCTTCCTGCCAAGCTAAGAATTGATGGACCTTATGAAAGTTCGAAAGCGCAAAATTTGAAACTACGAGAAAGACAGCGTAATACTAGCCGAATTACATCAGAAAATAAATGTAACATAGACGTATAATCGTCAATATAGCGCTTTATATTAGGTCCCAGGCTCCAGGCGAAGATGAAATAGGTGAAATAATGGCTTGATTGATCCAACAATCAGTGTCATGCTAAACAAGACTAAAGACGCGTGAGCGGGCGCTTGCTACACGAGAAAAATCATGATCTCGTCCCTCCATCGGGATTCTGATCGGCCACTCTTTCTGACTGCATCCGTACTACAGAACAGAAAAATTCGAGCATTTTGCAATATTGAAAAGTTCCTTAAAACAGCTAATCCACAGACTTTCATGTCGTGCGCTCTTCGTGACTCTGGCGGCCAATAACTATGGGACTGTAAAGACGACGCTTTATATTGCAATAAACCTGCAATAAGGAACAAGTCCTAAGAAGTGGACAAACCACCCTTATGCAAAAAATGAACAAACTCACCGGAAGCAAACTGAAATTAGAGCAGCAATAAGCTCAGTGCGATGTTTAGCTTTTGTTAACGCTTAGCAAAGATATTTAGCTATTTTAAACAGCTCAACAATAACAATTCAGCGGCAGTATATAAGGGTATCAGTAAGTAAATGTCACCTACTTGAAATATTAAATTTGCCACAACACACTCCACTTCGTCGGCATCCATATCCTCAATTTTGGCAAGCTTCATCGCAATACTGAAAGCTTTGAGAGGAATCTGAGATGTTTTCAGTAATCTGCACCTAAAAGAGCTTATGTAAATCAAAAGCAACAAAAGAAAGTGATCAAAAATAATCCAACTCCGCAGTGGAAGGTACCAAGCATCGATGAAAAGGTGGAGGGTAGGGAACCGTGGCAAAGTCACCCGTGCAACTCAGCCATATTCTCTTAATTGCATTTACTCTATCGAATATCATATTGGCTTAGTCGTCGCCCGGGTGACATTGGACCGTGCATGTTACTAGGAAACTGCAGTGAACTGTGAAAACTCGGCGTTCAGAACCGCTTCTTGCTTTCTGGCAGCTGAGGCCATAGCGGCATGATCATGACAGCTGAAGATCTACAGATCTACATAGTAACAGAGATATCAACCAACAACGGATCTGCCACTCGTTCTAAACAGAAGACACATACCGCGCAGAACCATCAGAATCCATTAGACAAGGTTCTGTGGAACGATACTGACAATGGGTGCAAACAGCGAAATCTGGAACTCATTTTTACTGAATGCAAGCTAGCCGCAAAGTAAAAAACATAAATCTTCATAAACGAATCACCAGGATCCGGGAATTCTGAACCGTTGCGGGTAGAAACTTTTCTACTCAGTTGCCGACTCTATTAACCACGATCATACCTGCCTTGGTATTCTGGTAACGCCCAACCTCGCTGACAGAGTCACTGAACGGAAGCGTGTCACAGCAGGGGTGGCAATCTTACAACCTAGATTGCAACATAACACAGCTCTGGCCTCGTTACAGGTCTATGCGCGCAATTTAAAAGGAAACCATCAGTCTTTCCTAAATAAAATAAAAGGTGCTCAATTCAGAGGGAGAATATCATTCATCCCTAGATAAAGTAAAAGGTGCTCCGTACAAAGTGCTGAATATGATATCCATCATTTTGAAATTATCGGATATGGTCCGCAGCATCTAGCCTTACATGTGACCATTCAATTAAGTCTCTCTCGGAGGTGAAACCAATGCTGGGTTTCTGAAAGGCACTGCCAAATCATATCAGTCAATTTCGAAGGATCATGAGTGACGAAGTCACCAGCAAAATTTGTTGTGCAGAAGGAACATACAGGGCAGCTGCCTCTGTTCAACCTACTTACAACTTTTTCTGGTCTAATAGCTAATTTATATGTAGAAGTTGATGCCATAAACATAAGAGAAAAACTTGGTTTATGAAACGAAAGGAAAAGTAACTCATTTCGAACCCGCTATCCTGGTTTTTAAACAATATTCGCCGAGGTTTCGACCAGGCCTCACCTTCCCGAACAACAGCAAGTCAAGATTATAACAACATTAGGTGAAACATAAACCGACACTGTGGCTTGGAATAAGAGTTCATAACACTCTCACATACACTGCGATC